AGCTACACCAGAACGGACATATTTCCATCTAACTCAACCCCATGCAACAAAAATTGATACTATGTGTTCATTATGGTCCATTCTTCCTCGACGAACAAGTACATAAGTGACAATATAGTCAAAGACGAGAAAACTGCACAAGAAATTTGCCTTATTTACACGTATCGGCAATGCAAGCTGCCATGCGACTTCCCCTTCTGACGTCACAAGGGGAATTTCTGTATGCAAATGAGAAGCTAATGAGGAGCCTCGTTTTAAAATACACAAAAATAAAGTTGCGGTAGACTGAGTTTAAAACACATTTTTTCACTTAAAAAATAATAATTCATGCTTAGAAACATAAAAATTAATAATATTTATGTATCAATTGATAATTTTAGGCGTGAAAATAGAAGCCATTTCACAGGCACTTTAAGCCTGAGACCAATGCATGCATAATGGATCACCTTTTTACAGTACAATGACGTAATCACAGAGCATACAATACTTTACTTTGTAATTTGTGACGCACACACAAAATATTACAGTACTCTAATATGATCTCCATTACTGATAAAATAGAGTACATTAAATCATCAGAATTCGCAGTAAGTTATTAATTGAGATCTCAACAAAAAAACACACGAGTATTTAACATCTATTTTTAAAATGTTTTTATTTTAGAAAATGAACTTATGCATGTCCATGTATATTATGGTTGTCATGACAACAATCATCCACAAAACTAACATTTACCACCATTTAAGGGACACATAAATATGTAAAATTTATGTATTAATGACCTATTATTGCACGTTGACATGTCAACATTAATGTTCAATGCTGTCGACTCTCAATGATTTACGATCTTTTAGAGTATAGCAAGGATAAATTCTACTGTCAATTTCTTTCATGTTTGACTATAGATGCTAAATCATTTTGGCCAAACACGCAACCTCCTAGGACAGCATGGTAGAATCTTGTTTTAACTGAACAAAAATCCCTTTTTTTTTTTAATTACACAAAGAACATGGATTGCAATTTAATAATTAACCACCTAACAGGAAATTACCACATTCTGAATCGTTCATTCAAATTTCAAATAGAGGAAGAATTACAGTAAATTACAGTTTTTCAAGGCACACTATAGAATGGTCAGAACTGAAACAGTTTAAAAACAAAAATAGCATTTCTGACTGAAAATTAGAAAAAAAATTCTAACAAGCAGCCTATCGGCTGAGATAGCTCCGCTGTTAGCAATGCACATTTCAATTAAAGAACTGAAGACATCATTAGAAAATGAACAATATGAATAGTATCAAAGCAATCGGACTTACAGTTTTTAACAAGAAGTCGAAAATATCACTTTTTACCAAAAATTAC